GGATGGAAACTCATCAAGGAGAGAAGCAACCTGGAATTAAGGAGAAACTTTTTGACATTGAGAACAATCAACCAGTGGAAGGGCTTGCCTCCGGAAGTTGTGGGTGCTCCATCACTGGAGGTTTTTAAAGAAGACACTGTCTGAAATGGTATAGGGTCTCCTGCTTGAGCAGGGGGTTAGACTAGAAGACCTCCAAGGTCCCTTCCAACTCTGATAGTCTGTGCTCTGTTATTGATAAAAAAAGAATATTTGTAGCTCAGGGCTGAACTGAGGAATTGTTGGGTGCTCTCAAAGGTTGGCGGTTGTCTTGCAAACGTTTCATGGCCCAAATAGGTATCATCATCAATGCTAGAAGAAACGGGGGTGACATGATAGCAGTATTCCAGTATTTGAGGGGCTGCCACAAAGAAGAAGGCATCAAACTATTCTCTAAAGCACCAGAGGGCACAACAAGAAACAATGCTTGGAAACTGATCATAGAGAGAAGCAATCTAGAATTAAGGAGAAACTTCCTGACAGTGAAGACAATTAACCAGTGGAACAGCTTGCCACCAGAAATCATGGGCGCTCCATCACTGGAGGTTTTCAAGAAGAGACTAGACAGACACTTGTCTGAAATTGTATAGATTCTCCTGCTTGAGCAGGGGGCTGGATTAGAAAACCTTCAAGGTCCCTTCTAGCTCTAGTCTATCCCAATCTAGAAGGGAATGGGGTTTGGTCTCTGATTATATTCTTTCATTCACTTACTCATTCATACAAAGTCAGTACCTTAGAGAAACAAAATCTCCCCAGTTCTATGGAAGCTTGCAAAGAGTCAGCAGCATGGAAACCTTTCAAGGACATTCTAACAGGTGTGAAGAAGATAGCAGATGGTTCCCCTAACAAGGAGAGCGTGTTTACATGAGCTCCATTGACATTTGGGGAGGACTGGCTAGGAAAGTCATTGTTATATGCTACGGTCTGATGCCTTGGGACTTTAGAGCTAGTTTTTCCTCGCCTTTACCAATCTATGTATTCAATCTTTATTTATTATTATTATAGAAAATTTATATTGCCGCCTACTTGCACATGGCAACTCAAGGCGGCTTACCACAATAAACAGTAAGCTTTTCAGGAATGAAAATAATCCTGGACTTTTCTTTGGATACTCGGGCTGGGAGGTTGACACAGTCCTTTATTGCTGGACTCTTTGTTGTGACACCTAATAACCTTCATTTAGGCCCACTCAACCCCCACGATGGAAGATCCCCAGTTTCAGTGGCAAACCTGACATTCCCCGCTCCCTTGCTTTGCTGTCAACCCGCCACGTTTTCTTGCTCCTTATTACGCTGGCTGACTCCTGCCCTGTCACTTATTACATGTTCTGTTTTCCACTCTGTGATTAAAATAATGAGGTTGAGTGTCAGCAAGTGGCACAAACCTTTGGAGGAAAGGCGATGATCGGAATTATTTCCTTTATGTTCACTTGCGCTCTATTAACTCGGGAGAAAGTCGGGAGACCTCTCCTTCAATTACGACGTCTTCTGCATCTCACAGATGGTAATTGTCTTTTTAGTGTTTTTTTCCCCTCTTCTCCTTCTCCCAGCCTCCATCCATTTCTGACCTAATGCCAGGCTAAAGAGAGAGAGAGAGAGAGAGAGAGAGAGAGAGAGAGAGAGAGAGAGAGAGAGAGAGAGAGAGAGAAACAAGGGAGGGGTTTGCATTGATTATTTCGGGTGATTCTAGAAGGATGTTGCATGAGGATGTAAATTTTAACCAAGAGAGGAAGGCTACCAGGGTTTACAAAAATAAATATAGGGAAAGCCATCACTTTGGAATGACCCTATCCAGAACACATCAAGCTAGTTTTCCCACAACAATAGAAGACTAACCCATTTCACAACTACAACTGTAAGTTAAGTAGACTAGGGTTGTTCAACTCAGGCCAGTTTGATCAGGTCATTTGTACATCTTCAGAAAAAGAAAAAAAAATCACTCTAGTGGGTTTCAGTTGTGTGGATTGAACTGTCAAAATGAACATTGTGTTCATTCGGCCTCTTAAAATGTAGCTATTGTCCATAGGCAGGAAATATCCCCGTAGGTCTGAAATCAATACATTTCCCAATGGATGAATTTTTCGCTTTTAAAATCCTGGGGGTTTTGTTTATACAATCTCAGATTATCCAGAAGAGAAGGAAGAGTTGGCTTGCAGCCTTGAACGGGAGTGTCAAATTTGATCCCACGACGATGTTCCATTTGCTCCCCTGCAATTAAGATTTGTGCTATGAGACGACACGACAACCAAGAACGCCTAAACCAATCTTCTCCCAGCCTCTCCCCTTTGTTTGTGTTGTTTGTGTAGGCATGCACGTACCAGGCGAGGCCTAACCGCACTCTTTTGCGAGTCTCTCTCCTCCTATCTCTGCACCTCTATTTAAATAGCTCCTTTTAGCACATTCATCACCTCCCTCCCTCCGTGGGTAAATTTCAAAGGAGGTTTTTATCTCGTGATATGCCCTGCATAAATACATTTGTATTCATAAAAGCAACATCTTGCTCAGCTGAGAATCACACCGCCCTGAGAAATCAAGTGGCTAACAAACAGTCCTGATCTTTTCCGGAGGAGACACAAATCAGATCGGGTCAGGCAGGGATGTGTAAATATCCACTTCTCCCAGAGCCTTCCTAATTATGACTAACCGAAGTTTAGGAAGTGGGGGGCACTGGACTTCCATAAGGATAGGGGGGAAGCGTCGGACTTCAAGCCGACTAATGAATTGCGTGCCTCTTTTTCTGTGGGGAAAAAGTCCTACCAGCTGCTCCTATTCTGCTCTCAAGGTGCTTTTGGCCTAATGAAAGCAAGATCACGCTTGCACAGCAGCTGATGGACGAGGAAAGGAATGATGGAGAACCACAAGGCCGTGTGGGTCTTTCTAATTCGGTCATCCTTAATCTGGAATACAGATTTCCCAGCCTGGCTGAAAAGGGCTTCCCATTTGGGAAAATTATCAGAGATGGTATCGGAATCCGGTGCTTTGTGCAGATAAGCACTGATCATGTTACCTAGTTTAACAGAGTAACAGACTTGGAAGGGACCTTGGAGGTCTTCTAGTCCAACTCCCTGCTCAAAGAAGAAGAGGATTCAACCTCTTCTCCAAAGCATATGAAGGCAGGACAAGAAGCCTGGATGGAATGGAATAGTTTCCAATGAGTGGAAACTAACCGAGGAGAGAAGCCACCTAGAACTAAGGAGAAACTTCCTAACAGTGAGAACAATTAGCTAGTGGAATGACTTGCCTCCAGAAGACCTGGGTTAGAAGACCTCCAAGATCCCTTCCAACTCTGTTATTCCTTTGTTCCCATATTTGAGGGGCTGCCACAAAGAAGAGGGGGTCAGCCTCTTCTCCAAAGCACCTGAAGGCAGGATAAGAAGCAATGGATGGAAACTAATCAAGGAGAGGAGCAACCTAGAACTAAGGAGAAACTTTCTAAAAGTGAAAACAATTAACCAGTGGAATGGCTTACCTCCAGAAGTTATGGGTGCTCCAACACTGGAGGCTTTTAAGAAGAGATTGGATAGCCATTTGTCCGAAATGGTATATCTGAGCAGGGGGTTGGACTAGAAGACCTCCAAGGTCCCTTCCAACTCTGTTAGTCTTTCTACGATCATATGTACCCATCCCTTCAAATGACCCAAATGACCTATATCGTTCTGGACCAAATAAAGTCCAGAATGATACAGGATCTCATGCCATGGGCAGGAGGTTGGACTAGAAGACCTCCCCAGTCCCCTCCAACTGTTATTCTATGTTCTATCTGGACATACCCAAGATGTCTCCTTCTCCTCTTTCATAATTAGGGTGCTATCGGTACAAATGAGCTTCACGCATCAAGTTGATAGGTCCAAGGGCTAAAGAGCTTGCAATCTGACTCCAGGAATGGCTTCTCTCTGTAGCTCCAGTGAATTATGTGCTCCCTCATAAGATGGGGAACAGCAAACATTAATAAGGCACATGAGAAGTTTGGCAAGTCAAGCATATCGAGAGCATCTGCCACCAAGGGGCAAATTGCCAAGTTTTTCTCCCAAGGGAATGACAATTGAATCGTATGTTCGCCAAGGTATACATTGAAAGTGTGTGTGTGGGGGGGGAGGGAATACACATCCTTCAGAGCCTTCTTGCCAAATGCAATCTGCTCCCAAGAAAGAGATTACAAATTAAAACTGCACGTAGACAAACGTATCACTTGAATACAATGCCCCCCCCCACACATACTTCTTGTATGGAGCAAAGGGGAACCATTTCAACAAGGCATCTGTAGGAATTTGACATTAAAAAAAAAAGACAAAAACCCTGAAAGACACCAGAAAAACTAGCACGTGTTGGATAGCGTTGGTTGCAGCAGAAAAAAAATGCACGGAGCAGAATACAGAATAACAGAGCTGGGAGGCCAAGAGCAGAACAGAGATTGGGGAATAACAGTTGGAAGGCTGCGAAGCCACAAAGCCATGAAAACAACTCTTGAACACCTTGGGATGTGGGTGGTGGATCTAGATCAGGGGTCTTCAAACTTGGCCATTTATGATTCTGGGAGTTGAAGTCCACAAGTCATAAAAGGGCCAAGTTTGAAGACCCCTGGTTTATATGGTCCATGCTGGCTGAGGAATTCTGGGAGTTGAAGTCCACAAGTCATAAAAGGGCCAAGTTTTAAGACCCCTGATCTAGATAAAACTTTCCAAAGGAGGAGAGATAAAGGGATACCAAATATGACTTTGAGAAATCTGAATGAAACGGGTGGAAAAAAAACACCCACGGGGAAGGTCCACCAGCTTCTTTCTTGACTCCTTGAGAAAAAGAGCAGAGTCTATCTTGGAAAGCCAGCTCAATTGGATCAGGTTAAGGTTCTAAGCGGTGAAGAGGTCAAGCAGATCCAAAGAGTCCTCCAAGGAGAAACAAGAGGAGCTGCTTAGGTAGGACCAGGTTTTATAGAGGCTGAGAATTCTCCTTGTTGGGGAGACAGCTTTCCGTCTAATATTCCTTCTTGTCTTAGAGGAAAATGGTTAAATCTCTGAGGATTAAGGCCCAGTGGGCAGCTGAAGACGAGCGTTAGCTGAAGCAGGACTGTCTTACTTCAAAACAAGTATTACCTGGGGGAAAAGCAACAAGCCTGGCAGATAGAAGCAAGCTTATTGCTCAGTCTTCCGTTTGCTTGCCTTCTTCATCTCTGGACACCGTACTCTCCTGTTCTGTAACTGCTGGACCATGTGGTGGGTCTTAAGACTTCGTTATAGCTTCTTTGTCTTGCCTGCCCCATGGATTTATCACTGCCAAGAGAATCCTGAAGAGCCTGGCTGTGGAAGAGTATTGACCTGTAAGCCTCTTTCTTCTTTTAATTTGTTGGCTTCTGCTCATCGAGAAACACCAGGCTTCTGGCTAAAGGATTTGTGGCTTTCTTAGCTGAAAAACCCAATGTGGTATTATTTTCAGATTTATATATCAGTGCTGGAAAAGAATGGGGTTTTCAGGGAGGAGGAGGAAGGGGGGGGGGAAAGGAGGACTGTAGGGTCCATGATGCTTTTTGATGGCATCTAGGTCCCACTAGTATTTTTCACGTGTGCCTAAAAAAAATTGCTATGTCAATAGAAGAGAATATTTGTAGCTCAAGGTTGAACTGTGGCGTCCTTGGTGGTCTTTAAGCTTGGTTGACTTCTTGCAGACATTTCATTACTCAACTAGGTAACGTCATCAGTGCTGGAAGAGAATGGGGTTTTCAAGGAGGAGGAGGAGGAGGAGGACTGTGGGGTCCTTGATGCTCTCTGAGCTCGACTGGTTTCTTGCAGACGTTTCATTCCCCAATTAGGTAATATCATCAGTATCTTTGTATCCAATTTCCCGATGTTTAAGGGGCACGTTTAACATGCTGTTGGTCTTCCTCATTTAACTTTCCCCCACAAAAACGTCTCGAGGTACATTTCTCATGATGAAACCCTGAGCATTCAGTGTAGAAGTGGTTGTGAGGCACTTCTAGAAAATAACCTCTTCCCACTCTTGATCTTTCAGCACTTGAAGCCTTCACAGAGTTTGGTTTGTGTGTTTTGTGTGCTTTGAAAGGAGCGCAAACTCCTCCGGTCCCCATAGTGAACTTCCCAAATGAAAACCTTCTCAAAATTGGTCCTGACCAATTGGTGCACACACATCCTGTGGTTTTCTGCAAGATGGAGAGTGACATTCTGGCCCTCATCCCTTAAAGTAGTGCCCTTTGGATCTGAAAGACAGGTGGTGGGTTTTTTTTCCCTCTGCAGCCAGCTGTGGCTTGTTCAAAAACAAAGTCATCCTTCTTCTCTTCGCGGTGCTTTGACTGTCATTTAAAGCCATTCGGCCTTGTGCGTTTCCCCCCAGAAAGATGGACTGGCCCTGTCATGTTCACCTGCTGTTTGTGTAAAAACAATAATTGTAAAAAAAGGAAGTTATGAACAGTTTGTCAGTTCTGGTTGCTGAGAGCAACTAGGAAGACGGCACTTAGAGATCGCTGAAGTGCCACGGTGCTGGATGGATTTTTTTTATTTTGTTTTTATTATTTTTTACCTTGGTTTTAGGGATTCATTTGTCAGGAGAAGTCTGCCTTTTCAGAAGAAGCTAAACAAAATATTTCTGGATGCTTAAAACCATGGTTAACTTGTTGCAGGCTTCTCGCCCGTTGCCTCAGCTAGTTCCTCAGGAAAGCAAAACTGTTGAATGTCTATGGAGGTCCTCCGTCATCCAAGGTCATCATCTTCTTCCTCTTGTGCCGTATCCATTATTGGATGTTGGCAATCCTGTTTTTATCAGCAGCTGCACGAACAAGTGCTGCTGAGTTTTCTCCAAACCAATCCCTTAGATTTTGAAGCCACGATGTTCTTCTTCTGCCTGGACCTCGTTTGCCTTCCATCTTTCCCTGGAGGATGAAATGGAGTATGCCATATTTTTCTGGGTGTCGCATCACATGTCCGAAATATTCCAATTTTCATTTTTTAATTGTTTTGATGATTTCCCTTGGCTTTCCCAGGTGGCTTATCACCTCCTCATTTCTGATCTTGTCAACCCAGCTTATACGTAACAGCCGCCTGTAAATCCACATTTCAAATGCTTCTAGTCTCTTCAGGTGGCCTTCTGTCAGAGACCAGCTCTCTACTCCATAGAGCAGGATAGAAAAAATATAGCATTTGACCAGCCTGATTTTCAGTCTTAGGCTTAGGTCGTGACTGCAGAAGACCTTTTATAATAAAAATAATAGTAAAGTTGGAAGGGACCTTGAAGATCCTCTAGTCCAACCCCCTGCTCAGGCAGGAAACCCTACACCATTTCGGACAAATGGCTGTCCAGTCTCTTCTTAAAAACCTCCAGTGTTGGAGCATTCACTGCTCCACTGGTTAATTGTTCTAACTGTCAGGAAGTTTCTCCTTAGTTCTACATTGCTTCTCTCCTTGATGAGTTTTCACCCTTTGCTTCTTGTCCTGCCTTCAGGTGCTTTGGAGAATAGCTTGGCTCCCTCTTCTTTGGGGTAGCCCCAAAGAAGACAGGGTCAGGTTGCTCACCAGAGCACCAGAGGGAAGGACGAGAAACAATGGTTGGAAACTGATCAAAGAGAGAAGCAATCTGCAATTGATAAACATCCTCACAGTGAGGACAATCAACCAGTGGAACAGCTTGCCTTCAGAAGTTGTGGGCGGTCCATCACTGGAGGTTTTTAAGAAGAGGCTGGACAGTCACTTGTCTGAGATGGCATACGTCCTCCTGCTTGAGCAGGGGGCTGGACTAGAAGACCTCCAAGGTCCGTTCCAGCTCCATTCCATTCCATTCCATTCTATTCCTCTATATACTCTACTCTACTCTACTCTACTCTACTCTACTCTACTCTACTCTACTCTACTCTACTCTACTCTACTCTACTCTACTCTACTCTACTCCATTCCATTCCACTCCACTCCACTCCACTCCACTATTCCATTCATATTATTCCTAAACCTTTGGGATGCATCCGTGATGGCCACTTTGGGCTGGGCTGCTGATTGGTTCAAGGTGACCTCCGTGGGCTCGCCATGCTAAATATCTATGGAGATTTTCAGTCATCCAGGTCATGGTTGTCCCAAAGATGCTTTTTTCAGGAGGCAACTAGACTTTCTTTGTTTTTTTCATCTTCAAGAAAGGCGAAGAAAGCCCAGGCCTCTTGATAAAAACACCTTTGGATTCTTCATGCTGACAGGTCTCCATGGAACAACCTACACATGTCGGCAGACCAGCATAGGGAGGATATAAATATCATCGTGTTCCCGTTCTAATGAAGTTTAGCGCTTTGCTCATGTTTTTGCTAAGTGCTGCAGAAGCGTTAATTAATCAAATGTCACACTTCGCCAGCTAAGCTCTGATTCCCTGTTATGCCAGCACAGGAGCAGTGACCTGTTAATAAACCCCTTTCCTGTGGTGAGGCTCACACTTGTGTGTGCATTTTTTAATTTTTTGTTTTTTTTTAAAAAATCATTCTACTGATGAGCATTCAGTTAGGACAACCTTGAGAAAACGAGCCATTAATTCAGGCAATGATGTTAAGGACCCTCCAGTCTTGTTCATCTTCACTCTCAGAATATCTGCGGAAAGTTTTCCCGGCAGATCACGTGTGGGTTGCGCCGGGATTGCGCAACATGTTGAGCAAGGTCAATAGAAGCAAAGCTGATGGATTAGTAAGCTGGCTGTGTGTGTTGTGTGGAAGTAGCATCTCTGGGGTCATTACAGATCAGCTCTGTAGAATTGTCGGCTTCTTTTGAAATGGCTCTTTGCAGTTCTCCTTTCTGTATTTTGAACAAACTGGGTTTTTTTATGCTTAGATCTGGTCAGGCGCAAAGGATCAGGACCACACTTGAAGTTGCCGTTCATAAGTTTGATTGCTCAAGCCTCTACACAAGAATCTAGTTAAGTAATGTTCAATTCCAAAATTGCTGCCAGATTTGGGTCAACGGAATTCAAGAGGGATTGGACTCTTTGTGGCAGCGTAACGATTCTCAGCTGATGATGCGCCTAACTCCACCTCCCAAGTCTGCCTGTTCTTCCTCTCTGAAAAGTAATAACCCAGGCTAAAACTGGATGGTTCCACCCCAGATTTCCTTTTTTTTCTCCTGTTTGCACTTTTGTTTAATGTGTTTGTCTTCTGTTTTATTTACTACTGGAAAGAAGAAACATTTGTTTGGAGAATCCTTAGAGATAGATTCTCGCCTTTCAGAATTGCCCAAAGCATATATATACACGAGAGCCCTCTTTTCACTGGGCAATCCTTGTGCCTTCTGTGGCTCTCTTGGTTTCTCACACATCCCAAGGGGAAACATCAGGAAGAAATCCACCTCAGAGGAGGGGGTGGAGCAGCCACAGAGGTTGCAGCAGGACAGGGAGATTAAATTCACTCTGATCTACATCTTTGCTAGGAACTCAAAGTTGAAGCAGTTGGATTTTTTTATTTTTACTTTGGAGGCATTTTATTCAATTTGACGGTTCAGATCCTCTTTCTGATCGGTTTGGGAACAGCAGTTTGGTTTGAAGAATTTGAAGAATTCCAATTAAAACTTCACACAGTGGAAAGGCCGTCACTGGTCGTACCTGCAGATCCTTTCACAGTTCTTTCGCTTTGGGGCTCTTGGGTAGGAGAGGACTCTTGATTTCAGCATCCTCTGGGCACGAGAACATTATTTTTGGTTTGTTTTGACCACTGCTCGCTTGCGCTCTTCGATTTAATAAGCAGATAAAGTTATCTGATTGCCTTAGGATGGCTAGCAATGGTCAGGAGGAGCTCACTGTGTTATGGGAATGTTAGCGGAGTTAATTAGATTAGAGTTAGCTCCAAAAGAGAGTTAGAACTCAGCTCCAGCTTTGCCTAAGGCTAAGCTAACTTCGTCCCAGTTGTCTGTGAGGTGAAAACTCCCCAACTTAGTCCATTGTCTGGTGTTACCTGCCTAGTCCTCTGAGAAAAAAGAACTGGAGGGAAAGAGCAAATGAAAGAGTTTTACCCACAATGTTGAACTCCATTCCTGGAGTCCCGGAAACAAAAACATGCCTCTTTTCTACTTGGGGCTAATTAAATGTCCTTCTCTCAGTCGGTTTGCAGAAACATCTCTAGCAGCACTTACAACCAGGTGGGGAAAAAAACCTCAGTGAAACCTCTTGAGCTCAAGATTTGAAGATGTTTGCACTCCACATTGCCAAATGTAAGCAAAGAATACCTCAGGGGCTCCATTCAGGGACAGGGTTGGTGAAGGGGCAAACCTAGGAGAACAGCCCATCAGGACAAGATTCAGCAGTCCATCTGCATTTGAAAGACAATGGTCACTCTTTTGAAGACAGCAAAGT